TTGCTTGTCTAGTACCTGGTTTTGCTAGTTCAATACAAACTCTGAGAGCACAAGGTCTAAGTGAGGGCAAGATTGGCTACTCCTGCTCTGTCCTGAATGCTGATATCTCTCCAAAATTTATGTGTTGAAAGCTAACCACCAATGGGATGGTGTTAAGAGGTGGGGTCTTTAGAAGGTGATTAGTGTCCTCACAAAAGAGGACTGAGGGAGCTTGTTCACCCTTTCTGCCATGCAAGGACTCATAGAAGGTGCCATCTATGAGAAATGGGCCCTCACCAGACACATAATCTGCTCATGCCTTGGTCTTGGACTTTCTAGTCTCCAGAACTGTGGGCAATGAGTTCCTGTTGTCTATAAATTATCCAGTCTGAGATTTTTTTTTTTTATAAGAGCCTGAAAATACTAAGACAACTCCACATTTTGAATGAGTAGCAAAGTGCCTTGATGAATACTTTCAGATGTTTAGTTACGTTCTTGATCCTCTTTGTCTGAATTAAGCTGATTCCTATGTGGCTAATGTGATGGTCAATTTTAAGTGTCAACTTGACTAGATTAAGGAATACCTAGAAACTTGGCAAAGCATTATTTTGGGACATGCCTGTTAGAGTGTTTCCAGAAGAGATTAGCATGTAGGCCTGAGTGGATGGGTGGGAAAGACCTACCCTTACTATGGCGGGCACTATCTAATATCCACTGGGAGCCCAGAGAGACAAAAACTTAGGAAAACGTGAGTCTCTCTCTCTCTCTGCTGGAGGTGGGATACACTCTTCTCTACTCTCCTTGGACATCTGAGCTTGAGACTCTTCAGGACTTATGCCGGAAGCACCTCCAGCTTTCAGACATTGACCTAGGACTGAGAATCACACCACCAGCTTACCTGGTTCTGAGGCTTCCAGACTTGAACTGAGCCATGCTGATGACCTTGAACTCCTAAATTCTGCTAGACCTTTTCTGCCCATAGAAACAGCCTTTTATTTTGTCTAAGGATGTTAGTCTGCTCTTGCCTGAAGAAGCTAGAATGGCTTGCCCTAAGGTTAGACTTATTAGAGACTGGTGATCACTTTTAGGATCCACCTTCACCAAATCTCATTGCTCCTAGCTTAGAAATTTCCAAATTTTTAAAATTCATGGATACCTAAGTGTCTCAAATAATTGTTCATGGTGCCCTGAGGCCAAAAGAGATACTCAATAATACTCAATAATTCTATTCATTGAGGAGTTAAGCCCTTAATATGTATTTGTTTATTCATTACCATTTCATAGTTTATTGAAAAAAATAGTACACATAAAGTTGAAAAAACATATTTTTACTTCATGTTTAAGTAACCACAGTAACTTACTAATGGCACACAGACACCTGCTGGGCAGTGCACAACTTCTCAAATCTGGAAATCGGATTGGACACAGTGACCTTAATTTCATATTGCACAGTGATTTTCACAAGATACTTGCTTTTTATCCATGCAACTGCCAAAAATCTGTTTACAAAGATTTGACATCATTGAAAAGATTGCAGACAGATCTGATGTAGAAACTGGGACATATGTCAAACCAGTAGTTCACACAGTATGTTATAGAAGGTGAGTGTCTCTGTATTACCCTTAAAATTTCTTGTCACACCCTTGTGAATTTATTGTGATGCCCTGGGGCACCTTAGTGCACAATTTGGGAAGTGTAGTTTTTAAACCTATAACCAAAATCAAACCCAAGCAGTTTCAGAAAAGCAGGAACAAAGTGTTACCATAATGGAATGAGCTATGTATCAAAAGAATTGCAATATTTTGCCAATTTACATTAACAGAATTGACAAATATATATGGGAGTGGATTCTAAGTGTGGTAAATTAAGCCCTGCCTAAATGGCAGATTCATGTGCAAAATCAATGATTGCTCTTGTTTTAGGTCACTAAGTTTTGGGATGTTTTAGANGAAGGTGCCATCTATGAGAAATGGGCCCTCACCAGACATAATCTGCCCATGCCTTGGTCTTAGACTTTCTAGTCTCCAGAACTGTGGGCAATGAGTTCCTGTTGTCTATAAATTATTCAGTCTGAGATTTTTTTTTATAACAGCCTGAAAATACTAAGACAACCCCACATTTTGAATGAGTAGCAAAGTGCCTTGATGAATATTTTCAGGGCATTGTTTAGTTACGTTCTTGATCCTCTTCGTCTGAGTCTAAGCTGATTCCGATGTGGCTAATGTGATGGTCAATTTTAAGTGTCATCTGAGTCTAAACTGATTCCAATGTGGCTAATGTGATGGTCAATTTTAAGTGTCAGCTTGACTAGATTAAGGAATACCTAGAAACTTGGCAAAGCATTATTTTGGGGCGTGCCTGTTAGAGTATTTCCAGAAGAGATTATCATGTAGGCCTGAGTGGATGGGTGGGAAAGACCTGCCCTTAGTATGGCGGGCACTATCTAATATCCACTGGGGGCCCAGAGAGACAAAAACTTAGGAAAACATGAGTCTCTCTCTGTATCTGGTGAGTCTCTCACTATATCTGCTGGAGCTGGGATACACTCTTCTCTACTGTCCTTGGACATCTGAGCTTGAGACTCTTCAGGACTCATACCAGAAGCACCTCCAGCTTTCAGGCATTGACTTAGGACTGAGAATCACACCACCAGTTTTCCTGGTTCTGAGGCTTCCAGACCTGAACTGAGCCATGCTGATGACCTTGAACTCCTAAATGCTGGTAGACCTTTTCTGCCCATAGAAACAGCCTTTTCTTTTGTCTAAGGATGTTAGTTCGCTCTTGCCTGAAGAAGCTAGAATGGCTTGCCCTGAGGTTAGACTTATTAGAGACTGGTGATCACTGTTAGGATTCACCTTCACCAAATCTCATTGTTCCTAGCTTAGAAATTTCCAAATTTTTAAAATTCATGGATACCTAAGTGTCTCAAATAATTGTTCATGGTGCCCTGAGGCCAAAAGAGATACTCAATAATACTCAATAATTCTATTCATTGAGGAGTTAAGCCCTTAATATGTATTTGTTTATTCATTACCATTTCATAGTTTATTGAAAAAAATAGTACACATAAAGTCGAAAAAACATATTTTTACTTCATGTTTAAGTAACCACAGTAACTTACTAATGGCACACATACACCTGCTGGGCAGTGCACAACTTCTCAAATCTGGAAATCGGATTGGACACAGTGACCTTAATTTCATATTGCACAGTGATTTTCACAAGATACTTGCTTTTTATCCATGCAACTGCCAAAAATCTGTTTACAAAGATTTGACATCATTGAAAAGATTGCAGACAGATCTGATGTAGAAACTGGGACATACGTCAAACCAGTAGTACACAGTATGTTATAGAAGGTGAGTATCTCTGTATTACCCTTAAAATTTCTTGTCACACCCTTGTGAATTTATTGTGATGCCCTGGGCCACTTTAGTGCACAATTTGGGAAGTGTAGTTTTTAAACCTATAACCAAAATCAAACCCAAGCAGTTTCAGAAAAGCAGGAACAAAGTGTTACCATAATGGAATGATCTATGTATCAAAAGAATTGCAATATTTTGCCAATTTACATTAACAGAATTGACAAATATATATGGGAGTGGATTCTAAGTGTGTTAAATTAAGCCCTGCCTAAATGGAAGGTTCATGTGCAAAATCAATGATTGCTCTTGT